TATTCGTAATTTTTATTCTAAATTAATTCACCATTTCATTTTTAAGATTTTGGAAGCATTTCCAAAAGGATTGAGGCTTATGTATTAGAAAAAATAACATTTATATTCTCTGTTCAGGACATGGTCCCAGACCTAGTCACGCGGAATCAAGCGATTATACACATATTTACTGGGTTTAGGGGCATAGTTCAAACAAGCCAACCATTGTTCAACACCTTGTCACTTCCTCCTTTCTCTTATATTCCTACCCCACAAAAAGCACAAATCGACATTAACAGTAGACCTCAAATCAGCGAAGGCTATTTGGTTCCTAAAATCGACGTAAGTTTTATTTTAAATTTGCTATAATTATAAATGATTGACCATTTAATTTTTAAGTTTTTGTAAATGTATTTCCAAAAGGATTGTAGGCCTACATTAGGAAAAAAACCTAATTATATATTTATTTTATACGTTACTGCCACGCCCATACTTTATTCTCTTACTGTTTACGAAGCAGAATAAAAGTATCGGTTCGTATACGTGAACAGCAGTGGGATAGCTGGCGTCAAATAAGTGGAAGAGGGCAGTGGGGGCTCCAGTGATGTGGGGGTGTAGTGTTATAGGGCTCCCAATGTGGAGAGGTCATCAATCCTCCGGGCTCAACACAATTCTTCGACAGACTGAATTTATTAGGATAGGAGACACTTATTCCTTAAATAAACTTCCAATCTCTAAAATGTCGAAGTTTCCAGGAGCCTCGCCCCTGACCAGTGACCTCCTCCAATGGCTTCTCTGGTCGTCCCCTGGCCCCGGTCAATTACACTCTCATTGTTGTCATCGTACTCCCGTCTCAGTCATTTCCTGGCGTCACAATTGGGAGAGGGGGAAGATTTCTGTGCGTTGTCTAAATTCGGAGTGGCTGATCAAATGGATTGAATTATTGTTAGTCTGTTCATACAGGATTCATATTTCGATCGACAATAAGTTGTATATTTTATTATTCTAATTTTTGGTAATGATAAATGTATTATTTCTCATGCTTTTGTGCCTTTGTATAGATCGGACGTTTCTCTTGTAAAATGAAACACAAATAAATCATAAATTATATGTTAATATAGCTTAATGAATCTATACTACACCTTATTCACAGCGATCTCACTCATCTAGACGTCACAACTGTATACGAAAGTAACGAAGCATTCTGGTGACCATGAAGAATTTACCTAAGAAACAGTGAGTACGCTTCTGTATTATGATACTTTGATAAATTAAGATAAACCATTAATGAGAGAATAATTTCAAAAGGATGACAATTTACGTTGAATAATGGCTGTGATAGAGATGGTGCTGATGATGCCGATGATAATGATGACGACGATGATGATGTTGATAATGATAATTAACATTCATGAGAAACCTGGTT